AWTTTCTTTCGTTTCAGAYTTTGCTTTCAAATTCAAAGGAAGCTCCATCGACATCTACTTCAGCAGATTTTTACTGCTCTATATAGTATTTCACTTTATTCCTTTGAAATTGTAAGTATATTGAAACAGTGGATGATGAATTGATGGGAATGATGGAATGGAAAAAATCAATTGAGAAATGGATGGGCGGAAGTGAAAGACAAACGTTTTCGGTCGACAGATCGATTGACTGTTGAAAGACGGACAGCCGGACACTAGGACACAACTGGATTCATGTTTAGGGACTTAGGATGATAGACGACCAAAAGTATGGTTGAGTAGGTTGGTTGGTTGATTGGATGGATGGACCGCGTAAGAATATAGGTTAAGGAAAGGGAGGAATCATAATTTTATCTGCATTCTTTTACAGGCTGCTTCCAAAGTCATTTAGAAGCAAAGAACCATGGATGATCTACTCGCAGCACGGTTTCCATTCAGAAATCTCATCACACAGTGAAGACTGTCTTGTCTTTGACCCTGACAAAATACATGACAGCAGTTCCAGTCTCTCGACCTTCTTGGCGCGCTACGAAAAGGAAGGCTGGACACCTCCCGCACCTAAACTAAAGAAGACAGCTTGGACGTGGACATCGGATGAGGAGAAAGAATCAAACAGACTGGCTTTGTCAATCCCTGATATTGGTTACATCACCAAATCAAAGACCTGTTGTTCTTCATCTGAAACTGAGTCCGAGCAACAAGTTCCACGACCGCGACGTGTCAGGAAACGAAAAACAAACAAAGAAGTTGAAAAGAAGGAAGAGAAACTTCTCATGGTTTCTGTGGGATGTATGACTGACAAGATAAAGTCACCACTCCACAACATTGAGAAAAGAAATGAGATTGATGTCAACAAAGCGAGTGATCGAAAAAGAGCTAATTCGCATGTTAATAAAGCATCTTCTTCCTTACGAAGCTTAAAAAAGGGTAGCTTCAAGGAAAGACTCTCCTTTGATTTGGCTAACATCTCCTTTAAAGAAAAGAAGAAGGAGAAGAAGCTAGATGAAAGTGGTATTACTGGTACTAAGGCAGTCAAGTATGGGCTTGTTGCTATGGGCGTCGGCCTTGGAGGATACCTCATATACAAAGCCTGCACAAGAAATTAAACTGGACGTTTTTTTCATTTTTTTCATTTTACCTATTTATTTATTTGATCTTATTTTGTTTTTTAAACGACTTTTTCCTACCCACGGCTCATCGCATTTTTTTCTTGGATATTATATGAAAACTTTAGTCATACTTTGTCTAAAATTTAATACTGGATAATTTTGTCACATAAATAAAAAGCAGAGTCCAGAATAGAAAACTAATTCACAATAAACTGAATAAACACACTGTTGAAGCAAATAAGACCAAATAAATCTTAATGTTGCGAGCACCACAGGAAGCCCATAATAAAAATCCAAAGGAGGAAGTAGTCAGCGGACATCTTCACAAAACAAAAATAACCAAGATGGCGGCCTTCAAGGACTCTTTCTTTCCCCACACCGATTGGCCGGTAAGAGCGCAGTATTCACATGTGTGCAGTGCTAACTAATGCATATAAGGCTAGGACTCTTGATGTCTTCATATTAGATGGATACGATCTCTTACTTCTTTCCGATTTCTATACTTTCTGATAACMAGAGCTTGTTGATCTGTCTCGACTCTATACAGAAATGCGCTTTCGTGCAAGATTAAAAGATCTTATAGCATTCTAATATTCAATACAGACGTTTTGAATGTCTTTCGCTTGTCATGATACAAAATCGTTAAAACTTTAGTTTACAACCAATGTGTTTTCAATGTTTGTATTATTCCATTCGCAGGCCACAGTGTTTTCTGTAGATTGCACTGGAAGTCATGCTGTATTAGGAGCGTAAGTAAGATTATATATTTAAATCCAACATCAAAATCTTCTTAGATACTGTATCCCCAGTTTTATTGTGATGTTAAAGTCATTGATGAATAATAAACTCATTATTACTTATAAAATGTTCTTATGCCTCTTTACTTGTTTTGCAGTCGTAAAGGYTTGGCCTTCATTAATTTAGAGAATCCTTCTGTCATYGCCAAGAAGGTGACCAGAAACAGCAAGTGGGAATGTGGCACTACTGAATGGAATCCACACATTTCTCATAARCATACACTWGTCTCTGTGGTATGTATATTGTTATAGTTTTAAAACTTACCTATGACATTTGTGATCGTTGTGATTTATTGGTTCCATTGTATAAATATTCCCTTCTTTCTTCTTTCTTCTTCCATTGATACAATTTATTCGTTTACTGCTCTTTCCTTTCTTTCTTTTCCCTTCTTTTTCTTTTCTGTTGTCTATCTATTTATTCAATCATTCATAAACTCATTGTTTGTTTTGCTCTCTACATTCATTCTCTTATTCAGTCATTCATGTTTCCTTCATTTAAAAGATCCCTCTTTCCCTCTCATTCATCCAACCTTACATCCATCCACTTACTATCCATTCATTTATGCCTTTATGTCTCAGTCTAACCAAAAAGCAGAAATTTGGAGRTGGAGAGATGGTAGYGGTACACAACAGCAGATTCTCAGAGCYCACACAAGAGCAATAAGGTAAGGYTCATACACACACAMAAAAAATATTTCTTTCTTACTTACAAAACATATTTTCTACACTATAAACTACTAGAAAGAGGAATCTTCTCCTTGGAATCAATGTACTGTATTTTAAGTGCATCACCTAGTGATACATAAAGATGCCTAAAATGTTTATACACTGCAGTCTATAGTGTTTTTTGTTTTTGCTTTTTCATTGTATGTTTACAGTGATGTGAATTGGTCATGGTATGACCCTCAGCTTCTTTCTACTTGCTCTGTGGACCAGTTTGTGTATATTTGGGATTTAAGGTGAGCATGATGAAAATGTTKCCATCATGATAATGATTATAYRCTATTATRATTGTGTTTGTATGWTGTTAGGGATGGCAAGAAGCCTGCCACCTCTTTACAGACAGTTGGTAAGTAATTTGACTGAAAACAATACAAATTGTAAATACTTAGTGTAAATATGTCATTAGGGAACAAAAGAATTTAATACAACATAAGATTGAGCTGTCATTATACAAATATGAATGTATTCATGACTTAGGTAGATAATAGTTGAGAATCTTTTATATAATATAATCATCCTTTGATAGTTGGTGCCTCTCAAGTGAAATGGAACAGAGAAGACAGACATGTTCTTGCTACAAGCCATGATGGAGACATCAGAGTATGGGACCTTAGAGTAAGCTTTTCTACTTTAAAAATTGTGTTGTGTRTTAGAKTTGTTGTATTTGAGCCTGAAACAAAAATGACCAGTAGTTAGYGTTGTTTTATTWAAATAMAGAACAAAAGAAAACTTTAAATTGAGAGTCAATACCAACTATTATCATGGTCAGAATGAAATGATATTGATCTTTATTGCGATTAAGACATTCAAATTAAGAATTCAATTTCAGAAAGGTAACGCCCCTGTAGTCTACATAACAGCTCATCTATCCAAGGTGCACGGCATTGACTGGTCATATAACAGTAGTATGGCACTTGCAACATGCAGTAATGACTCGACTGTCAAGGTAACATGGAAACTCTCTTTCCCAGAGAGTTTTTAACAACCATTGAACTAGATTAATTACTTTTATTTTGGTTTAAACCATTTCCTCTTCTTTAGTTATGGAACACACAGAATCCWCAACAGCCAGAAGCAAAGTTGAATGCAAGTTACCCAGTCTGGAGAGCACGATACACAGTAAGAAATCCTTTTCTTCCTTTTCCCACTCATCCTGTTTTCTTTCTCATTTAAAAGCCTCTGAGATACCTAGACTTCCATGATGCTTCAGCATTGAGGAACAGGCTTTTGCAACTTCTATTTTCCTGATTCAGGAGTCAAATTTGAGTGTAATTTGAAATAATCCATGAGATAAGCATAATGCTATTATAACTACATTCTTTTTTTCTCCAATGTGTACTAATGTGTGCTTATTTTTGTTCTTTTCTTAGCCGTTTGGTCATGGGCTGGTGACAGTTGTTGTTCCTCAGCTTAGACGTGGTGAACACTCTCTGTGTCTGTGGAACACTGCTAACATGACTTCCACAGTACCACCCCCTGTGCACACATTTGATGGTCATACTGATGTAGTGCTGGACTTCCATTGGAGGTCACAGAGTGTGGATGGTCAGTATTAGACCTTTTATTGAAACATTTTGTTTCTTCCTTACTTTATCCTCTGATTGTTATTGTTGTTTTTGGCCCATATTGGACGCCGTGATTCATTGTATAGGGCTATGTTAGTATTCTATGTCTAATTTCCAAATGTGTAACCAAGATAAAAGAGACTAGAGTTATGTACACATATAACTCATGTCTTTTAATCACCAGGAGAAGACCAGTTCCAGCTTATCTCTTGGTCAAAAGACAACTGTCTCAGAATGTGGTCACTGGAGCCTCGAATAATTTCAGTAAGTGCGCATTATTTATACATAAGCATGATTCCAGGTCTAGGATAGAGTGGCACTTTCCTATGTAAGGCTAGTTTGCAGCAGCTGTATAACTTATTTGACAAAATGTTTTTTCCTGCAGGCATGTAGTGAAAATCCTCAAAGTGACCACACAGAAATGAGCTCTTCTGTTGAAGTGTTATCCACTGGAAGCCCAAGCTATGGATCATTTGAGATAATGAGCGAGAAACGATCATCCATACCACAAACAATTCAGCAAGAATTTGCATTGATAAATGTTAACATTCCTAACGTTACTGTAGAACAGGTACTGACCCCTTTTATACGACCGGAACTGACTTACACAAACACTGTTAAACCGACCACCCCCAATATAACGCCGCAAACCCGACTGCTTTTTAATGATCAGAAATTTTATATTTTCGACATTAATTATTGTGTTTTGATTCCAGATGGATGCTAGTCAGCGGTGTTGTACAGTATCCGTGACAAGTGGTCCACATGTCACGCTGTCAATTCATTTTCCCGCCATGTATCCAAATAACGCAATCCCTTCRTTCGAGTTCACACCGGATACAGCGTTGTCACTRAGCACGAAAACTAAACTTATCAAGGTGAACATCAATTGTAGATTTTTTTTCATGTTATTCATTTTTATATTACATTTAATTAAGACACTCCATTTTGTGCGTCTTTCTTGTAGACTTTACGCGAGACAGCTCAGAGTCACGTCAAACTAAATCAAACATGTCTAGAGCCATGTTTACGACAGCTTGTCAGCCATGTTGAAGGATTGACTGTAAGTATTTAGCTTCCCCACCCCTCCCTACCTAAGGGA